AGAAATGTTTCGCCGGGTTTTCTGCATTCAGGACGCACAAAAATAAATATCCTCACTTTAGGAGTAAGGCTCTATTCACAGGAAACCAGTGGCTCTGTATCAGGTATGAAAACTTATTTATTCTGCATACTTTATACTTTATTAAAATATTTATAGTAATGATAGAAAGGTAAATTTTACACTGTGAAAAGATGAAAAAACTTACTGACGTTTCAGACGCTAGTCCGACGAAGGGCTAGCGTCCGAAACGTCAGTAAGTTTTTTCATCTTTTCACGGTGTATAATTTACCTTTTTATCATTACTGTTTCATTAGGAACACCGACGCAGCTCACACTAGTTTTTAGCTAGTTATATCTTCTTAAAATATTTATAATTATTTATTTTCTCATTACTTAAGCTTAAGTAAATATCCTCATTAACTTGAATGTCACCGAAGCCAAGGGTTAGTGGAAATCATCATTAATGAGGAATTAATGATGAATGACTGCCTGTTCCAATGAAGTAATAGAAATCGCGTGCGTGTGCTGTGTGCTGTCATAAAGCATGCGGGGGTTGGCAGAACATGAGAGAAGTGTTAGGAAAAGCACGACGCGTAGCGGAATGCTTCTGGACACTTCTCGTATGTTCTGCCAATCCCCAAGTGCTTTATGACTGCACACAGCACTGCAAGCAAGTTTTTTATTTCTTTTATAAAATACAAATTACAATATTAGATAGGAATGATGCAACAGAAAGTATGCAGGCATGCAATGTGCTCTCATAAAGCACACGCTCCAAGCCAATCAGAATGCGAAATTCCTAACAGTTATTTTATAATGAATTACAGTGACACAAGAATGTTCTGAAATTGCGACATAGGCAGTTGTGAAACTCAGATGGATGCCATAAATACCCTCCCTTATAAGGGTCTCACTAATATGCCAGTTTAGTTTGGGGCCCTCATTATTTCCAACACCTTAAAGCCCCCCACCCCCCACCCCACCCCCATATTTAACTCATAAATTACTTCAAAACCACCTTCAGAATCACTAAAATTTCAAGGTCCCCCATTTTTTCATAAATTTCTATCTTTTTTAGGTGAAATATTACAAGAAAATGCAACAATATCAAATCCATTCATTCCTGAACAGTCAGTTGACACAATCACTTCAGGAACAGAACTTCTCAAAGATACTGCTGAAGCCCTTAACTCCTTAGGAGAACCTACTCTATCAAGTCTAGGGCTAGGAGGAACATCTCCTATTGGTCTCGTCCAACAAACWTTAGAACTAGTCCACACATACTTCRAYCTTCCATGGGTGTGGTCTATCGTTGCTGTTACTGTTGGATTCAGGTTATTAATGTTTCCTTTGATTGTGAAGTCGCAAGCGAATGCTGCAAGACTTAATAATATTAAGCCTCAGTTAGAAGAGATTCAAAGTCAATTGAGAGAACTAATGAATACTAAAGATGCCGTTGGTAAGGCCACTGCGACATTCAAG